ACACCGAATGTTTCAACAGGCCAAATCAGGAGGGGTATGATAAATCAGTTTTAGGTAATAAAATGTAATAATGGTTATATTTATTTTTTCATTTAAAGTACTCTTTAATGCTCAGGAAAACTATCTTCATTATTCATACAAACACTCAAAGACTGCACAGATTTCCCCTCCCCCCCAAAAAAAACTTAACCCAATCACCAAAAGAAAATTTACTGTTCCATATTAATTTTCTGGAAAACATTTTAAAAAATTGGTCATGTTGTTATTCTTGTTAAAGACTTTTTTATTCTTGATTAAGGAAGGAAACTTTTACAATCCCGCTGAACCATTTGCACTTTTGTCCAGTCCCAAGGTCCAGCACAGACTCTGTTTTTCCAACAGATGTAACTTGGATTTAAAGGCTCCGTTTTGCTTTCTAGCTGCTCCTTGTCTCTGCCTGCTGATTAAAGCCATTGCTCTGGTGTACCCAGGTGAAGCTGTGGCTGCTCAAAGGCCACAGCAATTTCATCCTCTTGATAAAAAGTTGCAAGGGGCAACTGGGACTCTATGGAGCTTACATTTTCTTCTAAAGCAGCGCCCCTATCCAGCTCTTCTTCCTCCAGGCTGAGCCCAAAGTTCAATTTACACTTGGGGAATGGATCAATAAAGCAATTACATGCAACATAAGTAGGCTGGGACTTCACGACAAGTAGGGCTGCAAACACAAAAGAAAGCTCTGATAATTAAAAGGGACAAGGAACCCAAAACTCAGCGGCATACTGCCAAGAGTGTTTGAAATGGTGAATGTTTTAATGTAACAGCACGCTGCTGAAGGCTGGAGGTCATGTCCTGGGAGCCCTGGAATGTGCCTGAAGCCTTCTCTTTCATTTCTAAGCAGACAACAAAAATTTTTAGACTGTTTTTCTATTTCCTAGAGGGGCATCCCAGATCAGGATGTTTGAGAAGCTTTAGGTTTGTTATTTATTTGATTCAAGATTAAAGTTATCAACTTCAAGTAGTTATGACTTGGTCCAGGGGATTGCTTGCCTATTTTAATTGTATTAGTTGTGTTCTATTAATATTTTGGAATTTAATGTATGAAAATGCACATTCATGGCTATAACTCATCCCTGGAGTGTAACTGTGTTATTTATCTTAGTCCTAGCAGTTATATTTTACAGATGGTCCATGCAGAGGAGGACGTTAGGCACTGCTGCCATCCCTCTTGTCCTGGTCTGAAGCAAAAGGAAAGATCCAAAAGGCATATCCAAAGTGTTCCTAATGGCACTGCTGCAGCAGAGTCACTTGAAATGTAAATGATGTTAAATCTTTTAGCAGGTCTGCGAGTTCCAAGAACAAACTGCCATGAAAAACGTCATTTAGGATAAGCAAGACTATGGATCGATGTCTTCTTAGTTTAAAGCAGCTCTTAAAGTAATAAGGCCTGGAAACAAAAGGAGAAAATAAACGAAAGACACACTGCATGCAGTCACCTCCAGAGGCACAGCAAACCAAGCCACCTATGTTTGCCTTGAAGTCCAAGCGTAATCCAGAGGCGTGTGTTCCTTCTGCTGCTTCTCCTGATAAAGCAAGGCTCAGATCCAGCGGCTCCGCGCCTCCTCCTCTCCCGGGACAGCCCGGGCTGGCAGTAGGGCCCCCGCCCCGCCGGGGCTGCGGGAGCCACTCCGGGCCCCGGGCACGGCGCTTGGACCACGGGGCTGCGGCAGCGCCTTCGCCCTCCGCCTGCCCGGCAGCCCAGGCGCTCACGGGCAGCACCCACCACCATCACCATCACCACCATCACCATCACCACCATCATCATCACCTCACCACCATCGCCACCACCACCACCTGCAGCAGCAGCAGCAGCGGGGCAGCCCCGCCGAGCCCCTCCTCACCCCCGCCGGGCAGCCCCGCTCAGCGCAGCGCAGCCCGAACACTGCAGGCGCGGAGCCAGGGCCGGGGGATCCCCCAGGACACAACAAGGGCTGGGGCTGGCCCAGCCGGGGGCACGGCCCGGGACAGCGGGGATGCTCCAGCCCCTGGAGTGAGGGAAGCACAGCCCTGTCCCACGCGGGGCGAGCACAGCCCGCAGGGACAGCCAGCACACGGTTTTACTCCAGAAAGCGACGTGATGCGCTCCCAGCACCGGGCCCAAGGAAACCCAGAGCAAAGCACCTTTACCCTTCCAGGAACCAGAAGGTAATTATAATTGACCTACTAATGGTGTAGGGGTCTTCTTGGAGTTTCTTTTAAGACAGCAGGCATGTTACCCTTACACTTTCTGCAAAATTAATTTCATTACTGCAGAAACTCATCTGCAAAATGGCAGAGTCAAAGGAGCTGGGCTCATTCTCCTGCTGCAAGGACCAGCTCCTGCTTTTTACTGTTGTACCCAAGCTATGAGACCCAAGTGCAACCTCCTGCCTTGAATTCACACCCATCTGACCTCAGTATTACCACTGGACTTGGAAAGCAACACAGACCCAGCAGGGAGTTTCTGTGCCTGACCTCATTCCCAACAGTGGAGTGCCCACCATCAAAGAGCCACCCCACCCTTACCCACTGCTGGAGTACAAATGACTGCATTGGAGCTAAATTTCAGACCTACAATGTTTGGAGAGTTCCACATAGGACATAGAGAAATGAGTTAAATGGGCTTAACTGAGATCATTAGTTTGCTTTCACGGGAATAGACCTGAGGAAGAAAGTGTTTCCGAATGAGAACAATCCAGTTTTCGGGCTGAATGAATAACCAGAGGAAGCAAGTACATTGGGTCTCTACTTCTATGTTTAGCACCATTTAGAAAAAGCAAATGCAATACAGAGTTCATAGATGTGTACAATGCTAAGCATAAATACAGGTTTGGGTATTTAGAGTTCCAGGGTCAGCAGCCCGAGCAGAGCTGGCACAAGTTACAGGAGTGACAAGGAAGAACGAGGAACAAAACCGCAGCAGAGGCGACACAAGTAACAAGCCTCCAGGTGAGCACAAGTAAAATTTGTAACAGTTACATAAATTTTAGAAGGATACATATCAGACTCCTTGGAAAACCACACCTTTGAAGCCGTAACAAATATTCTCCTCTGCCTTTTCCAAAATACAAACACGAGACAACTACTGATAGTAAACAGATGTACCACATCTTACCTTTCTGCAAACAAGCTGTACATCACCTGCGGCTGCACTACATGAACAAAAATGGTCAGTCACACAGGAAAAATGGACAGAGCATCCCCATCAACAACAAAATGTTAGTGATCACTCACACCTTTGCGAGACCCGTTGCATAATTTATCCAGGCACACAGAGCCGTTTTTACAGTGACACCTTGATAGCTCTAAAATATGCATAACAAGTTCTTGTAAAGGCTCACATTATACATTTAAATTACAGCATGTTAGCAGTTTTCTGGAACAGACTATTTTTTTAAGCCCAAAATTTGTTTTTCACAACCTCACATCATCCCCTTTCATATAATTTAAAAATTAAACCTTTAAAAAAAAAAAATTAAACTTTTTTTTCTCAAGTAATGAGGACCTGAAATTCACTGTCATGGATGAAGCCACATCTTCATGACTTTGCCACATTTTTTCAACTACAAGTTCCAAGGTTGACCAGCAGTGTTTTGAAATGCTTAAAACTTTGATACAAGTTTACAATACAAAGTGGTTCACTATTAGCATTTATTTTGTGCAGAGCATACATCAGAAAATTATAAAAAAATCAGCATTCATCTAAGAACTATTGGACAAGAATAGGACTACAAAGAAAATTATTTAAGGGAAGAAACAGGTAAACAAATTACTGAATTAAAAGAGAGGGAAGAAGATCCATACCAGTGGATCAATGATAAGTCATTAACATTTTAATTAAGAGCAAAACATCTGTGTTAGTTTAATGCAGATGAACTTCACAAACCAAACCAGACAAGGCATATGCCAGAAGACTGAGGCCCCTCTGAGAATTAGTTAAGAAGGAATTCAGGCAAATAAAAGACAGTACAAGTGGAAATCCATGTTCAGCCAGGACATCGTGAGCTGTGCCTGCAACTGCAGAGACCATGGGACATAAATAACCACGTTGAATTCATATTCAGGGTTCTCTTTAACAGAGGAATACTGGCAAAATACAAAGCAAATGCAAAGGCAAGCCACAAAATTACTTCAGGAGTTGGAAAAGTAGTAATCAAAAAATCAATTTATAGGGAAAAGGTTGGAAATATCAGTTTGTTAAAGGGTAGCAACAGTCACAAGAAACGTTGCAGGTTGAGGTTTCAGAGCAACACAAAGCTCAACGTGGGTACCAAAAAACCACAGCTAATCAGGTAAAAATCCCCAAGTCACTACAGGGACAGGCTGACCCTTTCAACATTACCTTGAATACCTGTACCACACAGAGCAGCTTGGTTTCCACAGGGGTACAGCCCCAGGAACAACACATGTAGGAATGGAAGAAAACCACTGTGGATTTATGAAGGTACAATAAATATATATAAAATCAGACAAGTATCTGAATATTTATTTAAAATACAGGAGGGAAATGCTGAGCTTGAGGTGGCAATTAGGCAAAACCTGACAATATTGGCTGGCAAAGTCACCAAGAGAACTGCGGGGGACCCTGCTGCTGGGACAGTTAAAAGTCACATCTAGACAACACTGATGCCCAAATCCAGCCTAAGGATCCCGGTGATGTGGCCCAGGATGCATGTCCTCATTTCACTGCAAGTGAAAATACAAGTTCTTCCCCTTTTGCAGTAATAGGGCCAAGGCAATAATCAATGTACACTTGCAGCACTGAAAATTGACTGCAGGCCTGTAATAGGAATTCATAATAACTATGTTCAAATATTTCTTCCAAGCAATGAATCATGATTTTTCGTTTCTTAGAACCAGCTGAACACCATTTAAACACAACCTCTTGCACATTTGATTTACATACCCAGCTTACTCTATCAAATAATGTTTTTAGACTTTCCTCATGTATGAAAATTATGCACCAAATAAGATTCCAAACTTGAGCAAGCTCTAATCCATGCATCCTTTATTCCATTACAATCACTGTGTTGCTCTCTAGCAACAGGACACAAACTGCAATCAATCGCAATCAATTTATACAACAATCTGAGGCTTACAGTACATTTAAGGCCTTTAAATTTGGAAAAATTAGACCTATCCTAGCAGTGTAACAATTTTTAATGTTTTGCATTTCTGATGCATAATCTGTGCGATTCCAGTGTCAAAGAATCAAATTACTTCTAAACTAAAAAGATCAGCTCAATGAAAATTTAGTTACATAATTCATCAAAACATAAATGTGTAAATTCTATTTTCTTTTTTTTTTGTCCTGGAAACTTTATAAAACTTTAATAGCAAAATAATATAGGGATAAAAACATATTTTAACAAAATGTATTCAATCATATACAAACCAGAATTTCGCAGTTTATTGTAACTAGACTTAAATTAAAACTACCAATTAAGAATCTATGCACAATGTAAATTCAAATATGTACAGTACTTTTAAAAAGTCTACAGGAATGCTTTACAGAAGGAAATGTCTGTTATGGCTATTATTCAGACAATCTGAATATTAAAATGAGTTTTCTAGTAGTAAATTTACACATTTATTTTTAAACAAAAGCAGTTTTGTCCCTAGATCCTTTAAGAATATTCCAGTTATGTTTATACAACTAATGGAGAGGTCGTTACAGAGTTTAGCCCCATATAGTAGTTTGTTTATTTTCAGGTAAAAGTATATTTAAATAATTTACTTGGGAAGATCAGTAAGTTAACAAAAGAACACTAGAAGGGAGGAGGGGGAACTTCATCACAATAACTTTCCAGTTACAATACCACAGCTAGAAACTTCACAGAGAAAGAACTCCCTTAGATTGAACCCATGATTGTTCAGAACAAGCTGTAGCTCATAACAGTTGTGTTCTCCACTCCGAGAACACAATGGGGAAAAAGTCTTTGTAGGACAGAATTATAAATGATCTGAAGTGAGACAGAGAAAACTGATCTTCAATTAATACAGCACTAGGTAAAAAGTGTCCCCATAAGCAGCTAGGATTCCCACTTCCTTCAGGGCAATGAAGCTAAAAATTGTTGGAATTACAGTAGTTGATCATATTTGTGTGCATTAGTAGAATCATTTCCAGATAGAAAAGACAAATTTCATCAGATGTTTGATTAGAACACCCTCAAGACAGGGTATTTCTTCATAGTATAAAGCTATTACAGCTATCCAGTTAAAGCATGTGCAAAACCAGGTAATTTCTTCCGTTCACAGTAACTGAGGTAAAATCAGGTAGGCTTCTTCAGGAGTTGGGAAGTTCATGAGATATGAACTGTTTTAGTCTCTCTAAGTACTGTGCATAAAGCTCTATGTCATTATGCCCAGCCCCTTCCACCCAGAGGGGCTCTACTGCTCGTGGACATCGCTCGTACATGGCCAGGCCATGGGAGAAATCGATCACCTCATCTTCGGTACCGTGGATGACCAGCACAGGAGAGGTCACTTTAGAGATCTTGTCAATGCTGGGGGAAGGAAAAGAAAGACACAGCTCAGTTTGGGGCTTTCAGTTTCACATCATTAGAGAAAGCAAGCTTAACTGTTGATACACAACCCTGTTACCACGGCATGTTTTTAAATGGCTGCAGACCACTGGAATTATGCACAAGTGAAATGGGACAAGGCTCATTCCCAAAACACATGTGTGAAAAAGGAGCTTGCAGTGCCGTCACCACCATCCCACCAGTGCTAACAGCAACAAGGCTGAGTGGGCAGCATGCAAATAAAGTTTGGCACCCAAAAATCCCCCACCAAAAGAGCTACTGTATCTATCACACAAAGCACTGTGAGGCAAGTAAGATTCCATGGGACATTCTGCAAGCATGGACTCTTCTCACATGACACATTATCACCTTCCAATTTAACAGCTTAGGAACTAATTAAATACATTCCAGTCATAAGATTTCATTAACAAAAAAAAAAAGGCTTTGGCTCATGGAGCTTAAACCTGTCTTTGAACCCTCAAATTAGGCAGATTCAGCTAAAGGAAAACAATCTGTTCTATTGATTAAGTTCAAACAATGAAATAGAAAACTGTGGGAGAAGAGCATTACACGGGGATATTTAACTGCAAACCACAGAAATCACACAGGATTTTCCTTCATGTAACCAGCCTCTCTGCCAGCTGTGACTGCAAAGTGGCTTTAGAGTAATATTCTTCCTTTTGTCCAGCTACCTTTAGCAGACCAATATAGCCTGAGACTACCTGTCACAGGAAAATGGGTTCTAAGAGAAGGGAAGAGTGACAAAGGCACCTTCCCAGTGAAGAGGTCAGGCCAGAAAACCCCAATTATGAAGCATCCTGGTAGCACATGAACTTGCAAGCAATGAAGAGCAGCTTTCTCTGACTCTCCTCACACAGGTGCCAGCTTTTATTTCCAGCCAGCCATTTCATGCTGGTTAGCTACCAGTGATTCCAAATCTGTGCAGAGACACCATGTGCTAATGAACTCTCAGCTTCCTACCTGCTCTACTTCCATCAACAAATGGAGGAATGTGGATAAATGAGTGCTGGTACTACCCAATTTTATGGGAGGACAAATCTATTTCTTTATGGTAGCTAATAAAAGGTGTTTGGACTTTCCTGCTACTGAAGAACAAGAAGGCATGCAATTTTGGCATGACCATTGATCTTACAAAATGATCAAGACTGCTTAAAATTACTTTAAAAATACAGATGTCAGCATACTCTGACTTAAAAACAGGTTCAAAAAAGTTTTGTGAAAATTCAAGTTAACTAAAGAGATGTAAACGGAAGCACTAAGCCTCACACTTACAAACCTCAATATTTAGCATTCTAGAGAACTGCCATTGGTATCCCAGTGAACAGCTGAGTGCAAACACATTTCTGTCTCTGTCTCTATACTTCTCAAAAAACCCCCAGTTTCATGCCATTTAAGGTACTACTTAAAATTAAAATGCAGCCTTATTTCACTTTTCCTGTGTGGGTCTTCAGCTGTGTGCAACTACACTGAATAAAAAAAAAATCCCAATGTAAAAGAGGCATCAGAATAATGCAGATTTTGTTTTTCCCCATAATTTTCATCCCAAAATTAGTATCATAGCCAAATGTAAATACTTTACAATCAATATGCTGTATAAACTGAAGCTTTAAGCCCATGAAAGATTTGGTATGATAGATCTATCAGCTACATACAGCTACAGAGATGTTCATGCATAATTTTTGTGGCTAGACACTAAATTCTCATTTATTGTAGGAAACCCCTTTCACTTCAGTATTCATATAATGAAACAATTTTTTTCACATATATTCACAGACCATTAAGCCAGATAATATTTATATTTTGCAGAAGATTGGAAGGAGTCCCATTGCCAAGTCAGCGACTCATAAAGCAGTATTTAAACTGCACATTAGCCTTACTTAGTATTCTCAGCCACACAGCTCTGCAGCTAGAAAAATCTACAGAGACCAAATTCTCATGGAGTCCCAACGTAAAATGTACATAATAGCAACTCACTGTAGGTGCACACAGAACTATTTTGTTTCCCACTGTGAAGACAGACAGTTGAGCTGCACACATTCATAAAGAGCACTGCTGTTTATTTTCACTGCTCCCAGTACCAGGAAAGTCAGACTGACAGCAATGAACAGCTCAGTAGGGCAAGAATAAAATACTCAAGTGCTACAGCACATCTGCTGTCACTGTTCCCCTTTCCACTTTTCTTTTTAAAACTGTTATTTGATTTGGCTTGGAACAGCTAATCACTGTTACTTCTGTAATCAGAGCTAGGTTTAAGGCTTTGTTTTTTCCTCTCTTGCAGAAGCATTTGTAAATATTGGATTTCAGGTGTGAGGATGATGAATGAGCTGGAGTATAAGTACTTCAAATTCAGTCTGCACCTCCAACAAGTTAATTAATTAACTAATAATATGTTTGAAAGGATTCTAAACACGGGAACTGTGAGAGCCACTATTACTTCATCACAGTTCCTTCTAGCTGTTCAGGCATATGGATTTTTACCTATGGCCTCCCACAGCTGCTAATTTTAATCTGTTGTAACCAAAATTAAAAAAAAAAAAAAAAAAAAACAAACCACGAACAACAACAACACAAAAAAAAGCAATGAATATTCCTTACTATGCTTATCACAAGCATAACTTTCTGAAGTTAAGCCAAGTTTTGACCAAGACTTCAGTGAGTGTCTGCTTTATCTTCTCCTTTCCATGGACCACTAAGCTTTTCACTTGTGCTTTCCCATGCCATGAGATGTGAGAGACTGGCTTCCCCTCTCATATTCTTCCATAACTTAAACTGGATCAAATGAGAAGTTCTAAAAGATTCCTGGAATATATGCTGCTCCCATGACCTCTACTACCAAATAGTTGGATATTCCAGGTCTGTTGCAATTGTTTTTCCTGTGAAAACTAGACTATAAAAGCAAATTTTTTATCTTAAAACCAGTTGCATATAATTTTCTAGAGCTTCTTAAAACAAGCATAATATCTTGTAAAAGATAGGACAGGGACTTTGTTTTGGTCACAAAATCAGGATCCTACAATATCCCCACCAGGGAGGAACAAATACAAGTCTCAGTATCTGCTCACACCACCAGTCCCTTGTAAACACCTACAGAGCACGGTGAGTAGAGAACCCCCCTTGCAGCAGTGACACATACCTCGGGAAAGCATCAAAGCAGTAGGTTTTCCTGGTGTCAGGAAAAGCCACCCGTAAGCCAGACATCAGGGGAGAATGGAGGATCACAGCTGCACACTCGTACCGAGATGCCAGGTCTACTGTAGGGACAGTACCAATGCTCTGGCCATACAGGATAATGTTCTCAGGACTGACACCATACCTGCAGAGAAAAGAAAGATGCTTTTAAAACAAAAAAGCCAAAACACAACATATTGCACATACAGAAAAGAACACATTTCTAGTAGAAAATAATTTGTGTAAAAGATGTCTTTTTGACAGTCTACACCATCTACAGTGCTGGGTCACTGCTGTGACAGTGAAAAGCAAACCCTGCAGTTTAGGCTACACCCCACGTACACCTGGAAGGTTTCAATTTCCTTACAAAGCTGCTTGCAAGTGTATAGCAGGCCTGAAGAATACTCAACTTTCAAGTATGTGCCAAAAGAGAAAATGAAAATGACAGTAAAGAAAAATCAATTAATAACTAAAATAAGAAAAATCCAGTACTAATCATCCAATCACAGGCTGTCAGGACTGCCTTGTTTCATGATGAAGTATAGCTAGACTGGATTGTAGCCTCTGTGAAACTGAAATTTTCTTAATATTTTTATACTGCTGAGCATAAGGGTGCTTTTGGCATCTACTGTTATATGAATAAGCAACTGTATAAAAATATCTCCCAGGAGTAAAATTTTATCCTCTTGGTAACCAAGCAGCAGCTGATGCTGGCAGTCTATCACCACAGCCACAGCCTGATGTTTTTAAAGAGATGTGCAGCTTTTTTAGCAGATTTTTTTTCCTCCCTTGGTGTTTGACATGGTCCAGCACACAGCAGAGCCTGGCTGACTCGGTTAAAAGGACCTTGGAACAAAATCTTGGCATCACAGACTTTGTTCCAGCTGCTGGGTGGGGAGGGCTGGAGGCATGCACCCCAAAGGCACCACATGCATCCAGCCCATCTGCCAGCTGTTGCATCATATTAAAAGACAGGCAAAAATGCAACAGCATCAGGGATACACAAGACAACAGGACTGGAACATGATCACCTACATGGCATTTCAGTGGGCATGGAATGATATTAATGCTGATAGGTTTTGCAATGCCATCCTGAACTGCAGTATCACAATAAACGTGAAGTTTCATTTCCAAAAGGTTTACAATATAAGCAGAGTGTGGAAACAGATGTTTGAATGAGAATCACACGATAACAGGAAAGCACAGGGTGGCAAGAGAATTCAACACATCCAATCGCCTTAGTATGGCAATTTTCTCTAACACTTATCAGCTTTAGATTAACTCCTTTTGATGTTATTTTGTTTCTTTAAACATCTCATATTGTAAGGGGAGAAACTTGCTGTTGTGACAATAGGTACTCCAGAGAAAAATCTGTTTCATAGTATGCCAGATAACATCAGATACAGGCTACAGCATCATTTAAAAAGCCCAGAGATACATCTGAACTTAAAGTAGCCCTTCGTCACTACAACTATTCAGTATCCAACTCCACAGAAAGGAAATGTGACAATCTGGACAAAATGAATAATTGTAAAAGGGTATTAGTGTACTCCTAGCCTATCATTAGAGCAAATGTCTTTTCTGCTTTACATTCCTACTGACTGACAACTAAAAGAATCTCTGGGGCTGTTTTATTTAGGGACAGTTCCCCTTTTCAAGACAGAAGAGTTACTGCAACAGATTTATCTTTTTAAGCCCTTTACCATTAGGCCACCACTCAGCAAGCGAGACAAGGAGCTTACCGCAAACATCAGCAGAAACAGCTACATGTAATATTTATTTATCCTGAGGCCAAAGGACACAAGACAACTCATGAGTGAAGGCCATGAATAATTGAGCTGTGCAAGGTCCTGAGAGCTGAGGGCCAGGCTTGGCTCCGTGATCCTCTGTGTTCTCACAAACAGTGCCCAGTGGTGACTCAGCAAGCCCAGGTACCAACCCACCTGGGGGCTTTATCTTTAAAACACAACGTTCTTCAAGCAGAGGCTGGGTCCTTCCCTCACTCTCTGTAAACTTCCTTGTGTTGGATCCTTGCACAACAGGAGCAGTGATACAGAAAGTGAAAGGGAAAGGGAAGAGCAGACATGGGTAAGAAGGCAGCAGTGAAAGGGAAATTGCATGACACAGAAAAAGGGAAAGAATATGGTAGAAAAAGGCAAAAGACACTCTGGAAAAAGAGGAATCCTCTTACAGTCTGCTCTCCTATTAAGGAAGAAAGTCTTTCCACCAACTACACAGCAGCCCCTAAAAATAACTTCCTTGAAACACACAAGCTTTGGTCTCTGTGGAAACAGTGCTCTACCCGACAGAGCAGGAGAGCCAAGGAAAATTTCTGGATATGCTTGGGCACTTCTCCTGTGGAGCCCCATCAGAGAGTTCCAAACAAGCAGGGCAACACAGCAATGTGGAAATCAGCCTTCAGCAAAGCCAAAGCAGGAAACAACTCAGTTACCATGGGCATATGCAAAAACCTGCTTTGACAAAGGGGGAAAAAAGAGAAGAAAAAAGGGCAGGCATACTGTTTTTTTTTTTCCCAAAGGGAACTCCATAGATGCAAGCATTTTTGCTCCCCCTTATCCACAAACACAGGTGGCAAAGCTCAAAGTTCTCCAGCCTATTGAGGTCTCAATAACCCACAAGTACACAGTGTGGCTTACACACTCCATTTGTGTGTGCAGAAACCTTCACAATAACCCTCACAAGCAGTAAGCTGCCCATACCTAGAGCTTCATGGAAAAAAGAGAAGAAAAAGGGCAGGCATACTTTTTTTTTCCCAAAGGGAACTCCAGAACTGCAGCTACTGCTGTATAAATGATGCAAGCATTTTTGTTCCCCTTTATCCACAAACACAGGTGGCAAAGCTCAAAGTTCTCCAGCCTATTGAGGTCTCAATAACCCACAAGTACACAGTGTGGCTTACACACTCCATTTGGGTGTGCAGAAACCTTCACAATAACCCTCACAAGCAGTAAGCTGCCCATACCTAGAGCTTCAGGCTAGGTCTAGCTAAGGCCCCAAAACACCCCACAGTCTATAATAACAGTAGTTTTGGGGGTTTTTTAACCCTGTGTTTCTGCCTCAGTAAATACAAATGAGGTTCACCAGCAATTCTGGTCTCCCCATGCTAGCATGAATTATGTGCACAGAAGCTGCTTATTAAGAATCCACACCGCAGACTTTTCTACTTATTCCAGAGTAATAAGAGACCTCAGTCATGCCAGCAGCTCAGTGGGATACAGCAGACTGGGAATACTGCTGACAGAGAGCACAGCAAAGGAGGATGAGACAGTACTTCCAGTTGCCCTGCTTGGCTGTGGCTCAGTCCCTCCTCAGTTTCCTCATACAACACCAATGATGGCATCCACTGCCATGCAAAGTACCTCAGACTTTCTGGATGACAGCACTATGTGCAAACCAGGTATTATCTCAAAGCATCTCTAATTATGAGCCTAAGATACTGAATGTCTGCTCCCCCCAGGGCTCCAGCTTTGAGCCATGAAGCTGGAAAGTTTACCATTGCTATTTTTACTCTCTCCTTGCTCAGTGCAGAGTGCCAGTGGAATGCTGCTGTGGGGACTCCAGAGTGTCACAGCTGAAGCCCTACAATGTTCACTGCCAAAGCTGCCAGTCCTCAAAGTGCCAAATACATATTCATTAGTGAGGCCAGTCCTTTTGCCAGTCCTTTTACTGAATCCATGAAGCCAACCTCACCTTGTATTTCCAGTTTGAATTTTAATGATATTCTCTGTCCCATTATCCATTACCTGAACAGGAAAGCATAGAGACCAGCCTGTATACAGCAACAGCAATAAATTAATTTTCAGAAACTGTCTATGCAGAGTACTTGGATGGCACAAACCCCACTCTGTAACGCTGTTGAGACTTAGTGTTTAACTGCTACTAAACTAAGGCAAGGACTGATGGGCGAGTTCTTCCTTACAACACACAAAATACATAAATTTACAAGGCCAGGAAAATGAGGTAACCAGCTCCTGCATTCTCGCAAGGGGACTGAGTCTGAAACTGGGCACTCCCTTCTCCAGCAAACACCAATTAAATAAATCATTTTCAAGACACAAAGAAAATCCAGCATACATCAGGAAAAACAAAAATCATGCTCCAGTTTGGAGGAAATAGTGACTTTTAGAGTAGCTTTACTAGAACATACATGTACTCAGCTCTTCACAACCTATTCAAGTCTGTTTCCTTCTGTTTGCACAAACCCATTTGTCACAAAATACTATTTATCATCTTTCCAAAAGGCATTATCTCTAAGTTTATAATCCAGAGAAAATTAGATCACCTGTTAAGAACCACAGGGAGGTATTTCCTAGCATCATTATACACTTCCATAAGATATCCATATATATTTTCATAAATAATTCATAAATAAGTGCCGTATTAATCTAAAAATCTAATTTTGGGGCTAGAAAGAAAAAAATCCTCAATTAAGCAAGTCACATAGCAGATTGCATATAATGACTATGATTTTATGTTGTGTGACTTTTACATTAAAATAAAATCAACACTAGCAACTTAAGTCAATAATGATTATTGCAAAAAATTTACAGTATCTGAACAAACCATTGCAATTTGCATTGTGCTTCAGCAAGTACCACTCCAGCATGTCAGCCAAAATACCAGAGAAATTACAGCAGATTTTCAGTCTAAATGCCAACATGAAATTGAGAGGAAGGCATTGGATTAAGGATTTTTTTGGGTTAACTGTAACAACTGTCAAACAAGAAAAATCAGATTTCAGGATTCACAGGAAACCCTGGCACATAAAAAGTGTCCCTGTGCCAGTTTCTCTAGTTTCCTTGAATTCACACAAACACAGGTCTAAAATTCTTCACTGTTTTACTGACACTGACTCTTTTAAATCATGAGATTTCCTCCTTCTCCACATTCTTCCTCTCCAGGCCTACAAGTGCTATGTAATTAAAGTTCAGGTACACCACACTCTATTTCACTTCACATTTTCATGGAGCTAAGAGCCAAACCCCAGTTGTACTCTGGCTTATGAAGCTGCAAAAGAGAGAGACCAATTTTTCTGGCCTATGTCCCAGCACACTGTCACAGGAGCAGACAAGTAATTCCACAAATGTGCTCACTCTCAAAATAATTTAAATGGCTGGCAGAGAA